TTACTTTTTTTTAAATTTAAATTAATTACTTAAGTATATAAAATATATTTAAAGCTTTATTTAATTTTTATTTTTAAATTTTAAAGTTAATATTTAAACTTTTCCTTATATATTTAAGTAAATTTACTTTAATTTTACTTTAACCTTAGGCCTTAAGAAGTTAAGGTTAAAAATAAGGTTTTTTTTATTTTTAATTACTTAAAAATATTAAATTTTTTTTTTTATAGTTTTATTATAATAATAATATATTTTTATAATTTATTAATTAAAAAGGATTTATATAAGTTTAAGTTAAAAGTTTTTTTCTTTAATAAAAAAGCTATATTAAAAAGTTTTTTTAATAATAATATTATAATATTAGCTTATAAAATAATTTATAATAATATTTATAATTATATTATTTATTAAGTTTATAAAATTATTATTTTATAATTACTAAAATATAATTTATATATATAAGTATTATTAATAATTATTTTTATTTTTAATAGTTTTTTTACCTTTTATAAATAAAAAAATAAATTTATTAAAAATTAAGTTAATAAAAAAAAGTAAAAAAGTATAAAAGTAAGTTTATAAAAGTTTTATATTAAATATATAAAATAAATATATAAAAGTAATTATATTTATTTTTAATTTTTTATAATTTTATAAAACTTATAGTTATTATATAATACCTATTACTATACTAAGGGCTATATAGCCCTTAGCCTATGCCTTCTTAGTATAGTTAAAGTAATATTATAACATAAACGCTAGGCCCTACTATAAGGTTAGTGCGTTTTTAAGGCCTTAATATCAGGTCTATTACTTAGCTCTAATATATATTTAAGTTTAGTCTTAAACCTTAATTAGTTATACTTTATAGCCTAAATTTTTAAGGTTTAACTTAGTTAACTATAGTTAATTAAGTTAAGCTATAGATTAATTCTAGATTTTAAACTAAAGGCTAAGGCATAGCCTTCCTTTAACTTAGCTATTATAGCTTTACTAAACCTTTTAATAATAAATATAACCTTTATAATAATTTATTATATTATTTTATAATTAAGTATTTATAGTTTTTTATAAATTAAGTATTATATATAAGCTATATTTTTTATTATTTAAGGAATTAGTTTTTAATTATAATAAAGTAATAGGGGTTTATATTAATATACTCCACTAGCCTATTATTACTCAGTATTTATTATTAAGTAATTTTATACTATTTAAGTATTTATTAAAATTTACTTAATTTTTATTTTTAAGTTTTTTTTAATTTATAATTAAAGTGTTTTTTTTTATAAAAGTAATTAAGTCCCTAAGGTTTTTATAATTTATAATTTATATATAATTCTAAAATATTAAAATTAATATAATTTTTTTTTATTTAAACTTTTTTTTTTATTTATAAATAAAAATATTTACTTATTTTTTTTTTATAAGTAAAACATTAAGGTTTTTATTTAGTATTACTTTATATTTATTTTAAGTTATATTAATATTTCCTAAGGTAGTAATAGCCTTAGGGATTTTATTAATAACTTAATTAATTACTTATTAATTAACTTTTTTAAAAGTTATAATATTAATTATAATATATTTTAATTACTTTTTCTTAAGTATTTTTAAGAATTATTTTAATTTTCTTTTTACTTTTATATATAAAATATTAATTATTATAATAAGTAATTTAACTAAGTAAGTTATAAAGTACTATTTTAATAATATTAACTTAAACCTTATTAAATTTCTTATTTTTATTAATAAGTTTTTTTAAGTTATTAAGTTTTTTATATTTTTTTTAATAATTTTTTTATAACTTATTTTACTATAATAATTATATTTATTTATAAATTTATAAATATTAATAATATTTAAATTTATAAATTTTAGTTTTTTATTATTATATAAAATTAAATTATATTTTTTACTTTAGTTAATATAATATTAAAAGTAATAATATATTTTATTATTTTCTTTTTTTTTTACTTATTATTTTTTATATTATTTAAACTATTAGTTATTAATATAACTAATTTTTTTAAAAAGTATTTTAAATATAACTAAAAGATTATTTTATATAAGTTTATTTTTTATTTTTAGTTTTAACTTTTAATAATATAATATTTTCTCTCTCTTAAGTATAAAGGATAAACTGCCTAAAAGCTAAGATTAAAATAATTATTATTAAACCTTTATTTAGTAGCTATTAGCTAGCAGTAGCCTAGCTAATTTACATCTTCTCTTTTATAATTAGTTTAAGTTACCCTCTTCTATTTTATTTATTCTTTAGGCTTTAGTAGACTTTCTTTATAATACTAATAATATTAAGATTATAAGTTTTTATAATAGTAGCTATTATTTTAGTAGTAATTACTATTAATTTTTTATTACTTTTAGCTATTATAGCTATTTATAATAAACTTTAGTTAGTTATTAACTTATTTTATAATAATTATTATAAGGGTTTATTACTTTTATAGTATATTATTTTATTAAGAAGTCTTTTATATTATATATATAATTTATTTTTAAGTAGGATTATTACTGCCTTTTATAACCTAATAGAATAATTAGCCTATCTAGTTTAGTTAAGTTATTAAACTATAAGTTATAGGCTTAAAGTTAGTTATATTATACTTAAACCTTATTATTTAAGCCTTTTTGTGTATTTTAAGTTTAATCTTAAACCTTAATTAATTATACTTTATAGCCTAAATTTTTAAAGTTTAACTTAGTTAGCTATAGTTAATTAAGTTAAGCTATAGATTAATTCTGGATTTTAAACTAAAGGCTAGGGTATAGCCTTTCTTTAACCTAGCTATTATAGTTTTACTAAATTTTTTAATAATAAATATAACCTCCTCTATAGTATTTTCTTAGTTATATTTTTAAAATTTATTTTAATATAAATTTAAATAAATTTAATAATATACTTAATATATATATTTTATTAATAAAGTTTAAGTAATATATTTTTTACTTTTTTTTTATTAATTTAATTAAATAATACCTTAAGTTAGTTTTTAAATTTTTTATAATTATTAAAAAATATATTAATAATTACTTTTTTTTTAACTTAGTTATATTTTTTAAAATTATAAAAATATAATTTAAATTAGTTTTTAAATTCTTTAATAAGTTAACTTTTTATAATATTAACTTATTTCTTTTAAAGTTATAATAATTAAAAAATACCTAAAGTAAGCTTTTATATTAATAAAAAATCCTTTAACTTTATATAAGTTATTATTAAATAATACTAATATTAATAATTTAATAATTTCTCTTAGTTTTTTTTTATATAAACTTTTTATTAATATAAGGCTATAAGTAATTATTCTTAAGTATTAAGTTATTTATTAAGTATATTAATAATATTTTATTAATTTTTAATAATTTATTTTATATAAATAACTAAGGCTTTAAAATCTAAGAAGTATTATTATACTTTAGCTTTATTAACTAAAGGTAATAGAATTATAGTTCCTTATATAATAAAATTTATTATTTTAGTAATTTTTTTAAATAAGTTTAAGATTTTAATATTATTATTATAAATACTTTAGACTTTATTTTTTTAATTTATTTTTATATTTAATATATAAAATTTAATTATTTAGTGTTTTTATAATAATATTACTTATAATCTAAGGTAACTTTTAAATAAAAGTTATAATTATATAATAAACTAAGCTTTTATAATATTAATATAAAAGGGATTCTTAAGGGATAAACCTTATACTAGGTTTATATTAGTAAATAAGCTAGGCTAAATTATAAGTAATTAATAAAAATAAAAAAAGTTTATTTATATAATTAATAAATAATACTTTCTATAGTATAATTAAGTATTATTTTATATTTATAACTAATTATTTAAACTATTTTAATAAATATAAAAAATAAAACTTATATATTTAATTATATATCCTAGATTAAGGTAAAAAGCTAGTTTTCCTAGCTTTTTATATTAAATTAAGGTAAAAAGCTAGCTTTCCTAGCTTTTTTATTAAATAAGTATAACGCTTTAAATTAATTTATTAGTCTATTATTAATTTAGTCTGGCCTACCCTATAGGCCTGTAGTTATAACTATAAGAGTTAGGTTATAATAAAAGACTTTATATAATACACTAATAGTATACTATAGTAAGTGGGAAAGGTAACTTAGAGTAAAATAATATTATTCTTTATATTTATATATATTACTCTTAAGAAATTATTTTATATTAAGCTAACTAAGAAAATATAAAAAATATTATTTAATAACTAAATTATATTATTTCTCCAAAAGTAAAAAATACTACCCTATTATATTAGTTATTAAAAGCTAAATATATAAAAGTTAAGAAAAAGGAACTTTATTATAAGTTGTTTTTATTATTTTATTAACGCTATACTATCCCCATTTGCAAATATATAAATAATAGTAAGGGGGGTTGCCTAATATCTCCTTATTAAGCTAAAACCCCCTAACTTAAGGACAGGCGTAATAAATTAGCAATATTAAAGATAATAGTTATTTTATAAATAAGAGTATAAGCACTAAAAGCCTGTCTTCGCCTATTGCTAAATTAAATAGTAAATATCGCCGCAATCTTATCTTCCGATATTTTATTATCCTCTGAAGTTAATAATAATAATAATATTAAAATCTTAATAGATTTTTATTTCTTACTTTTAGGTAAAGGATTAATAGGCTTTATATATATACCTATAATAGCAAAATATTTATTAATATAATTATTTACCTCCGTTATGCCGAAAGTATTACAGATATAATCTATATACTTTATAGGTAAATTATCGCCAGTTACCCTTACATAAATACAAGGCCCAACTTCTGTTTGCTTAGCATTCAGCTGTAATACTTGAACTCCTCACAATTACCAATATGCGATAGCTCTTGAATCTGGGGTGGTGATATATTTGTATGTGTGGAGTATTACAGCCACTATTGCATCAGGTATCCAATGCGCAAAGCACCATCAGGACTCAGAGACCACCATCCCTTTACTCCACCTTCCTTGGGATCATGTGAACATTCACCGGGCCCTTTTCCCACAGAGAATAGGTCTTGCTTCGATCATCCCAGCCTTTAGTTCCTTCAGCCAGCTTGATATCGTACTGCATTATCACACGAGCCAAGATGAGACGCATTTCAGAGTATGCGAGGCTTTTTTGGAATGTTAGTCAATGGCCTTGAATTATCACAGTAAACGAACGAATCATGACTTACTTCTTGCCAATACAGTTCCGAGGGCCTGTAGAGAATGGCTGAAAGCACTCTCGCTTATCATTTGCGAATTTCGGATCACCAAGCCACCTCTCAGGAATAAAGTCATCAGGCTGCGTCCAATAATTCGGGTTGCGGAACAAAGGCCACTGCCAAACCTCAACAATGGTCTAAATTGATGAATCAGAGGTTTTGATTCCCACTGTATAAACGGGAAGGATAACCTACATCTTCGGGAACATATTCTCCAGCAATCATGGCACCTCCCTCAGCAGTGAGTCGTGGCAAACCACTGACGACAGGTGGATACATGCGCATAACTTCGTCAAGAACGGCCAGCATGTATGTGAGATGCTGCACACTGGTAATGGTAATATCTTCCGCACTGTTAAAGTTTGTCCGCACTTCTTGGGCCAGTTTTGCTTGGACTTCTGGGAAAAGACCTAGGTAATAAGCAGCGGCAGACAAGGCTGTGGCTGTGGTTTCAGAGCCCGCAATGATAAGGATGGCAGCATTGGACGTGAGCTCCTCAAAGGTAAGAGACTAGACTTCAGTTAGTATAACCTCGCTCATGTATGAGCTGTTCAACTTACTTCTCCATTGCGCTTTGTTGTCATTGATGTCATGAAATCGGGGCGGTTGGATCCAGTTTCGAGACGCTTCTTAACCTTCATGGCGGAGAGACGTTGGTTCTCGGCATATTTAGTCGACAGACCTTTCGGCATGGCATATGGCAAGATGAATTTCAAGAAGCGCCTAGGGACTATTTTGAGATGTTTGAGGGCACCAATGTAGACCAAGTTCTTGACGCTGTTAAAGATGAGCTGAACCCAAGGATCGTATGTGGAGCTTTGGAGACAGCCAAATGATTCACCAAAGGCCAAATCGCCGATGATGTCGAATGTCGCATAGTTGAACCAGCGAACCATGTCAATCTCTTTAGTTCCGTTGGCGCCACGCTCCTCGAGAGACTTCATGAGTTCATCGACGTAGTCACGGATGATGGGCTCCTGGTCCAGCATGGCCTGATGAGAAAAGCCATTTGCCAAGCTCCTTCGGTAGCGAGTGTGATCGGCGCGGTTGGCACCAATGATATTGTTTACATGTAATTCTTGACGTATGGGATCCTTTCGGTGCTCCGGCTGTCCGGCCTTGCGGTGACCTCGAATGTCATTCATGGCATCAGGGTGACTGAAAGACAGGAAGTCGGGAGCAATGCGGACAATGGGGCCATACTTGAGATGAAGATCCAAAACGTCGCGGTGGCCCTTACCGCTGATCAGGAGGTGGGTGTAGGGGAAGCGAGAAATGGCTGCCAGCTTGGGTCCGGGAAACCTGCGCAAGGGGTGAAAGTAGAGATTGTAGATGCAAAGCCAGACAAGGTAGCCAAAGCCCTATATAACAGCACCAACTTGTCAACACGGTGAAAAGTCGCGTCACAAAAGTTAAACTTACAAACACTATGACGGCGAGTGGAAGAGCCAAGCTGAGCTTGACTGGGATGACGGCTTTTGCAGCGTCGTTGCTGATGAGAATACCCATCGCGAAAAGCTTTCGAATTTACTCGTCTTCACCAAATGTGTTTCCAATAATCGAAGGATCTATGAGAAGAAGGGAAGAGCGATTGTAATATCTGCCAGTCCATGTAGTGGCAGACACCACTTTATATATAGCGGACTTGACTGTTGCATTTGCAACATCGTATACGGCAATGTCCCCCGACTACTCCCCTACAATACACACGCAAGCAACCACACACGCAATACTACTACGTACTTCTGCTACCCCCATAGTCTGTCTCAGGTGCTCCATCCTGCGATCGTCGACGGAAACCCTGCTGTGTGATCGGAGATGCGGCCTCGACGCTATCTAACGGGAGATGTTAACAACCCGCAGGGCGTCCTTCGGTAGCCGCCACGATGTTGGCGTTGAGAAGGGTTCAAAGGGGGGCGGCGCCGGAACAATATCCGTGGAAACTCCTCGGAGTAAAGCCACACGCATTGCTGCAAGGAGCAAATATAAATGAGCCCCCTGCACTCGAACAACATCAATGTAACCCTCCGTGGCCTCTGTCTGGCCACTCCGCAGTGGGGCGGAGACACAAATAGGTTGCCTTGATTTTTTTTTACGTGTATCGAAAATACATACAAGATTCCACATCTCCCTCGCACGAGATGATGTCGTGTCGAACTGCGCGGTTGCGGAAATAAACCTGGTGGCATAACCAAGTCCGCATTACCCCGTAATATGCGGAAATGCCTGGTGATGGATGGTGACCAAGCGCCTTGTCAGATGCGGCCGAAACGGCGATATCACCGTTGGAGAGAGTTACATCCGTTGCATTCTACCGCGTAAAGTACTGGATGGGGTAAATACATGCATAGATGATGCAACTGGGAGCACTCTCTCCTGTAGTTTGCTCATCGAAGGCAGGACAATGCTAGGTGGGCGGTTATTCATCAGGTAGCATGTGACAGCAAGTCCGCAAGCACTCTATCTGTGATTCTTAACCAAGTTAGCTATGGTGACGCAACTTACACAGTACATGTATGGGTTCGAGGAAATTGGCCGAAGGGAGATGTTGACAGATAATTAATGCACGAGCGATAATATAGAGATTACGAGATAGCTAGGCAAATCAGCATTGCTTGCTCACGTTGTCAGTTGTGACTCAATAACAAGACCTGGACTAATATCGCCGATATTTTACAAGTTTGCTGATTCAAGTTTGGCAGGTTAATTCTAGGAAATGACTCGACAGCATTAATAATAAAGCCACCGTTTACAACTTCTAACAAGCTAATAATGCAACATTCGCTCGGACGGCCATGCAGGCCCTGGGATAAATATTCCGTAGTGGAGGCTGGGTTGTCAAAATCGGGGGCGGGGGTTTCCACCCCGGTTGGTTTAACAGTTCCGTGGAAAGATTACCCTTTTGAACTATCCATACGAAAGAAAGTCAAATAATCACAAATTATAGGTTCATGAACCCAAGAATCTTCAAAGCACTGCCATAGTGCAGGTTTAACGCTATGGAAGCTGAGCATAGTGCCTAGAGAACTCATGTTGTAGCTGCCTGTTTAGCTTAGAGTCATGCTGTTTGTTTTCGTCTGTCTCTTTTCAGTCCGGGCTGGCCTCGTACTATCGCAGGCAATGCAATTCATCTGATTCTTGACCTTCTCGATTGTATCCGCCTAAGCAAAGCTATCTTGGGATTCGACAGCGACCATTCAATGTTTACATAGATGTGTTGTTGGATTAACCATACATACCAAAGGTCTGAATAAATTGCGATGAACGACGACCACGCTCGACTTGCTACTGAATGTTATTGATTTGACGCCAGGGGAAAAAACCGGCGAACTGATCATCTGTCATGTCTGATATGGGCATGCGCAAAGACAAGCAGAATCTCGCTCCCACAGGTCGCCCTCCACTTAACTCCATTGGTTAGTTTTATGTATACAATGAGGTTATTGATGTGCTAAACGAAGTAAACTTCAACATGTTTACGATTTAGTCCCACATTTACGGTCATCACCCCCAAGGATCATAATGGAAATCCGAGCGTTTTTGGAAAGCTAGACAGCTAGGACTTTCTTTATTCATTATCTCATATGAAGCTTAAACCACAATAAAAGAACTTCTTAGATATTCAACCACTGAGAATAAGGACTGGTACTTGGGTCATGGCCAAGATAGTCCTTTAACGTTTTCTCCTCAGGCTGCCCATCTCCTGCACGAAAGACAGTATCCCGCAATCGCCTTGCAGCATCTTTGCCGAGGGTTTTGGTCTTAAACTCACAGCCACACATATTCAAAGCAAACACTCGACCACTGACCGACCAATTAGATATGAAACTTGCATACAAGGAAAAGACCATGCGAAGGCACTTACAGAACATATGTATAGTACCCAGCGTCATATCCGCTGACAATCATACGAAACACAGACTGTCCATGACTCCAATCTCAGCCATCACCGGTCGCCTATCCATCATGCATTGCCAAGATATCAGTCTGTAGTCTGTCGAACATCTCGGCTAAATTCGCTTGTTCGAGTTCCCCATGAGTAGCCGGACTGTGGACAAGTATATCAAAGTATGATCAGAAGGGATTATAATTCTCTTGACTGGTAAAATTTTGGGGGTCATGCGTGGCCAGTTTGGCAACATCTTTGTCACTCAGTGGCGCAGGTGGCCATTCGTCCTTATTATGATTTTCCTGAAACCACACAGACGTGTGTTCTGGAGAAACATAAGACTAGTGATAGGAGAGGGTTTTGATATGACGAGCTTCCCAAACAAGCTGTTCAAACATGAGACTTGGCGCCTCCACGAAATCTCTATGTAGGATAATCTTGCATATCTGACTTTGGTACATAAAGAATGATGGAGGTTTCCAAGCTCATGAAAGAGCTTTCGGAAGTCCACCAAGCTTAGCAAAACCGGCTTCAAATATAGCTTCGTGCAGTTCATTAACAAGGCGCAGGAAGGATAAAACCGCGTTCCATCTGACTTGGTAAATCCCCACTGTGTTGCATAGCTTTCGCCGTGTCTATATTTCCCCTCGCGAGGAAAGAAGTCAAAATATGCATAACCAAGAAATTCATCTGATTTCCTTGTGTTCCAGACAGCATACATAGAAATATCCTGATGCCAGATAAGGGACTTCTTATCCCCTAGCATAGACTGTTGGTCGGGAGTGATGGGCTCGAAGCCAGTATCAAATATATATCCAATTGGAGAAAGATTATGCGCCGTTGGGCAGAACGTCGGTGGGGGATCCCACGAAGAGCGAAATAGGTGATGGTGTAGAGCTAGAAGAGATCCATTTGCGCCCAAGGCGATGGACACAGTCGCTACTTTTTCAAGCTTTACCATGGATCCTGACCTTGTTATTCATGGGCACCTGTTTGGCTCAATATAAAGTTAGGGACAAGTCATGTCAATCCGAAGAGTATTCCCTACGTCGCCCAACCGATTTCAGTACGTACCTTGGCATGGCATATAAGTACTATATAAACTTACTATTTGATATAAAGAGTCCGCATCGTCAGAGATTGAGTTGGAAATAGTGACATTCACTGGAGCTCCTGTTTTTATGGAGAATGGCACATTCTGCGTACCAAATCCAGGGAAAACAACATATACTGGCCCTCCTTCTTGCGAGATTGACAACACATGGGAAGAAATTACAGCAGGCGAGTTTACTGCCTGGATTAACCTCTTGTAATTAGTATTAATGATTGTGATGCAGGAAGATATTTTCGAATCACTGCTGAAGAAGCCATCGAGGCGTTTGGATGTGCCTCGGATGTTTATTGGAATGACAATGTGGGTGGCTATATGGCAAGGTATGTGCTCTTTGGATGTTGAGCAGTGATCAAGTTATACTGATCGTACTAGAATTGGCATGTTCCATGCTCTACATCGCTTGGTATGCCTGAAATGACTCTTTCAAGATTTCGTATCCTTCAGCTATATGGAATGAACTTAATGTCAGCGATTAGAACCGGCTGCGGCAATCATTTTGGACAGACTATTATCCCCCGTCTACACATCCTAATACAATCATCCACCAAGGTATGCACGAATGATTTAATCCTAGCGTTCAAGATATTACATAGTTTACTAACAAGATCTTGATGTTTATTATAGAACATTGCATCGATCATATTCGACAGATGCTAATGTGCTCGGGAGACATGACCTTGATACCTACAGAATGGACGGATTACTTGGGAAGAAACTACGTCAACTCCGATGTTCCGCATACATGCCGGAATTGTGCAAAACTTCGAGATTGGGTAGTCTCACGGCACAACGGATCAACCATGGTGTCTGAGTCCTCGGTAGAGCACCATGGAAAAGGCCAAGATCAATAGTGACTATAACAGACAAGAGTCTACCATCGAGGGAGAAAACCACAACACACGCCGCCCGTATTAAAGCTGCAAATGAATCGATAGCAGGTATCAAGACCAAATGTGTTCGTAACTGCATGTACTCCGTATATATCGGGTATTCTAGAATTTTTGTTTGCGCCCTGCTCGTCTATGCCGCAGTCAAGATTGTTGTCAAAGCGCCCGCTCCCATTGCGAATGCCACTGTCCGTATTTACATCGTCACATCCTAGACCTCGTTCACAGCGTCCTTCAGGTCCTTGACGTCTATTTGCCCTTCCTTTGCTTTTGCGTTTCCAGGGTGACGGCTGCCCTTGTCCTTGACCTTCTTCTCCTTCTTTGCCGGCGGGGGGTAGGCCTTGATGGCAATCTCCTGCCACTCTTTTGACGCTTGGAACTCTGCCTGGATCGGGGCCAGCAGCTCGTTTAGTGATTTGGTGACGGCCGCCTTGAGAATTTGTGGTGACAGCTGTTGAATTGGTCAGTGTTTGTACGGATTACGAAAATCAAGAGCGGAAATCGTTCGACTCATACGTACCACGTCATTTCTGTAATCCTCGTGCATCTGAGAGATGCTGCTGTAAACCAATGGCTCCAGGCCATCTCTCTCACGGTCGACGACAAACTCTCGCTTTCCCTTCAGAGCTGCTACCGGCAGCAAAACGTATTCGACAAAGGCCAGGATGCCGTTTTCCTCAACCACCTTGGGGGTGGCAACGGCCTTGCGGATCTTCTTGGCGACGACGTCCGGGGCATCCAGGAGGTCGATTTTGCTGTCTATTTATCGCAGATCAGCGTCAAATCTTTAAACTCTTGTTGCGCAACTAGCGAGACCCTTACCCTCGTCACTGGAGCTCATCTTGGCGCCCTTGAGGCCGGGAACCATGGGGTTCATCAAGTGGCATCGCTGCAGTATGTTTATTAGGGGGTGTTCGACAGATTGATAATGGGGTGTTTTGCAGGCTCACCTCCTTGTATCCCAGCTTGGGCAGCCAGTCCTTGGCAGCGATGAACAGTTTGCGCTGATCAAGACCTAGAGCACATTAGTATAAGTTGACTTGTTCGGCAGGTGGAACACTGTACATACCACCAAACTGAGCATCCACATCCAGGTACTGCTCATCAAGAACCTGCAAGCATAGTGACTCAGCAACAAGAACTCGCCACACGTCAATGCCATGACTACGACGCCAACCTACCTGGAGAATGGGGTAGAGCAGGCCGGACAGAGGCGCATTGTCCGTCTGCTTGACCACTTCGGCACCGGCTCTCTTGGCATCGTGCTCTGAGATGACCGACGACAGCTTGTAGACGTCCATGATGTATTCGGGGCTCTTCTGGTACGAGCTGCCCTGCACAAACTTGAGCTTCTCGGTCGACACGCCGACGGCCTTGAAGATGGCGCTGATGACGAATCGGTAGAACTCGACGCGCAGCTCGACCAGCTCGATGGGGGCCTTGAGGTTGTCGAGGAAGCCGTGGATGTCGGCGAGGAGGATGGTGACATGGCAGCCGGCGGCGAGGTACTGGGCGATTTTGATGGCGGGAACAAAGTAGCCGCAGTGAGGACGGCCAGTTGTCGCAGTGCCTAAGGAAAAGAAACAAAACGTCCCATTGTTAGCAATGCAAACACACATTGATCCTCCCGTCTCCCATCTCTCGTCTCTCGTCTTCCATCTCTCGTCCCCCGTCTCCAACCTCTCCAATGCAATGGTAAAGAGACAAGGCAAGGCAAGGACAAGAACAAGCCAAAACATACCCCAGTAAATCTTGGGATGGCGCCCCTCGTCCAGAATCTTCTCGATAATCTCCGGGTTCAGAATCTCGGCAAGATTCTCGCGGATGAGCGCGAGCTTCTCGGATGCGTCTGCGGCGGCCATGGCGCTCCCCTTGTCTGAGTCCTTCAAGTGCCCTGATTCGATGCTTCTGGTTTCTCTCTGTTGCAGTGGTTGGTGATGTAATTCGCAAGCGTCGTCTGTTATTCAACCTGTTTCTTCTTCTTCTTCTTCTTCTTCTTCTTCTTCCAATTATCGAACCAAAATGTCCTTTTATCGCGGGGCAGATTGACTCACCCAGAATCAATGGCGGGGTGGTTTTTTTGCGACTCGGCGATTCATCGGACCGCAGCGGAGGTACTTGCCAAAGGTATCTTTTTTTTTGGGGTGGGCCAATTCTGCGTATGTAATCAATGTTAGTCAGCGCAACAATCTTCAACTAATACATGGCATCCCAGCTCTGAATGCTCTACAGTTTGGTCAGCAATATTAGATAATGGTATTAACAACGTAATTTTGATGTAACTCAAGAGGGCTGCTAATGACCAACTGATGGGACTTTGTACACCGCTGTATAGATGAAGGCCCCTGGTAATTACCTAGGTAAGTTGTTTTATGCCATTTAGGCAATTCCTTCTCCCCCCAGTTTCTCCATTACAGCAGATGCCGAAATATCTGCCGCCTTAGTCACTCGTATTAGCTAATTCAAGTAGTATTTTCCATGCCTGCATGGGTTTAACCTCACATGGTACTCCATACACTTCATCGCTATTCGCTTTGTGTTCTACCTTTATTTTTCAGCTGTGGGACGCTTTGCGGTAACAATCCGGCTTTAAGAAATAAACTCGGTTCTTGATTACTATTTCATAATGTGAAATTAAGCCGAGGCCACGACATCTATATAACTTGCCTTGAGTAAACAGATGATGATGAATCATTTTGTCCATGAACCATTCTGAAATCAATCTACATCATTGATAACATCTCGATTGCCGAGCCTCACTTAGTCTTCTCTGTGCTACTATCCTGTACCTTTGCTCAAGCCAACATCAAGGCCAACCGTTGGCACCTACTCATCCCATTGCTCGAATCATGGCTCCTGGAAATCACGAGTTCCTCGTAGAGGCCGAGTCCTTTGATGAATTCGGCGGCTGGGTCTTGGATTCCCAATTCGAGCTCGAAATGGGATCGCCGTACCTTCTGGCTCATGGCAACGGGACACCAGTGGCTGATGCTACAACCACTGTCAAAGTATCAGAATCTGGCACGTACAACATCTGGGTTCGTGCCAAGGACTGGGTTCCTGACTATCATCCCGGGCGATTCAACGTTGTCATCAATGGAAACGCCCTTGATACCACCTTTGGAGATAATAACAAAGATTGGAATTGGCAATTCGGAGGTCAGGTAAAGCTTTCTTCAGGCTCACTAAAGCTTGCGCTGCATGACTTGACCGGATTTTGCGGCCGCTGCGACGCTCTTTTCTTTAGCACCGCCGACGCTCCTCCTCCCGAGGCGGCGGATGAGAAGCAACGCTCGTGGCGAAGGCGGCTAAGAGGACTTCCAAACGAGCCGGTTGATGCGGGAACCTTTGATGTTATCGTAGTAGGAGGCGGAGTGCCCGGCATCACCGCTGCTCTGGCATCGGCACGTTTGGGACAGCGCGTGGCCCTCGTTCATGATCGTCCGTTTTTGGGTGGCAACGCAAGCCCAGAGATTGGACTGCACCCACGAGGAAAAGTCGGACGGCTCGTCGATGAGATATATGAGCGCCGTGAGAATGGTGACTTGATTGCGCTTCAAGTACTCCAGGCCGAGTCTAATGCGACGGTCTTTACGGATCATACGGTTTATTCAGCCGCAACCGTCAAAGGAAAGATTACTTCAATCGATGCCCGTGATGCTCGGAGCGGACGTGAAATTCGCCTCTCTGCATCAAACTTTATCGACAGTTCAGGAAAAGCCATCCTTGGAATCTTCGCAGGAGCAGAAACTCTGTTTGGACGCGAGTCCAGGGATGAGTACGGCGAAAGTCTGGCACCTGTACAGGGTGACCAGGCACATCATGGCAACACGCTATTCTTTCGTACTAAAATGGCATCATCGCCAGTTTCCTTTCCAGCCGTGCCCTGGGCCACAGAAGTGTCCAAAGAGTTCTCCAACCTCTCTGGTCAGCTTGTCAAGTATGGAGAAGAGAATGGCAAGGGTCCTCGTATCGAAGACGGCGTTAGCCCAACAGCTCGCCCACGCATGCGGAAAGAAATGACGCACTATTGGGAATATGGCCAATTCCTCGACCCTTATAAGAAAGGAGAGCATATTCGCGATCACCTCCTGCGTGCCATTTACGGCACGTTCTCTAATGTCAAGAGGATGGAGCCCGAAAAGTATGCCAACCTTGCGCTAGACTTGGTTGCTTTTGTGCCCGCCCAGGGAGAATTCAGGAGGCTCAAGGGCGATTATGTTCTTACGGAAAATGATGTCCGTAATCACAAAAAGTTTCCCGATGCTGTTGTGCAGAACGAAGGAGCATTTTGTCTCCATATTCCTGGTAACCAAGATTATGATTTCCGGCTTCAAGACTGGGAATGGGATGAAAGGGATGGAAAGCCCTACGACATTCCATTCCGCTGTCTCTACTCTGCAAATATCAGCAACCTGATGATGGCGGGGAAGCACATCAGCGTAACCCACGTTGCTTCATCAAACACCAAGTTTATGGGTAACGGAGGGCAACACGCCGTGGCCGTTGCGGCAGCTGCCCGGATATGCACAAAATATAAGACAACGCCCCGAGGTGTTTGTGAGAAGCACATAGATGAGCTGAGGGATTTGATTAACAGGCTCTCGGAAGGCGATGCCCCTGTACGCTCTAGCCACTTGTAAATTTACTCTAGGCATGCATTGTATGAGCTATCCTGTCTGTATTTGAGTGATACTGTTCTAATAATAAAGAAATATGCTTTTATTTATACCGTTTTGGATGGCTATCGACGTCTTTGTTTCAGGTAGCAGAACAGGATGCTCGATGTAATTTTGTTTCATTCACAAGTCTTAATCAGCCACGGCAGCATGTCTACGGATGAGATGCATAATATAATCCAAATGAGGATGAGGATACCTGTATACACATAATTGATGGTTATATACAATTATCGCCATCGCTTTGTGCTGGGGATTTGGAAGCAGGAAACCACAAGATATCAGAGTCTGGCCGCTGACTTTTGGTTTTGTCTTGATACTTGCATCAATCAATCTCCCCTGAGATCTTAGAAGATCATGATAGCCGTTAAGTTAAATGATGTTGCTCGATGAGGTGTAAAACTTACTAAGAAACCATTAAATTACCAAGAATTGTAGTCGAGAGGGATCTTAAGCTCAGCGCTTCATTACACCTTACATCTCTTTGAGCTTTGGTTAAGGAATTGAAAAGGCAACATCGGAAAGACGGAAAGATACCTTTTACCGAAAGATGCTTCTTGACGGGTAGATATCTTGCTGCCATAATCCAATACCTTATTGGCTAGATGAACTCATCTATCTGGGCCAGAGGAATAGGAATGACAACGTAACAAGAACCAGGTCGAAAGAGGTAACGGTCAGGCAGCAGGCCGTTGTATATCGGGAGACTATTCTATACACCTAGAACAACCTGCATTAGGAAGCTCTTGTGAGCATTGGTAGGACAGTGATAGGAACTAGCAGAAGGAAGGGGTGCCAGAGGTGTAACCGGGATAATTACGCATTACTAGTAGCGGAATGAAAGACCACTTGTATGGATCGGACTTTCGGAGCGTTGCCGCTTTCCGGGGCGTCTTAGTGTGTAAGGAATCCTCCGAAATGGCGGAGTCAGTACCCAAGAACAGGAATTCGGAAAAGCAGAAACTCTTGTGTATCTCCGTGGCCTGTCGTTGAGCTTTTCCGGAATTCCGAAGCAGGTTTAGAAGGGGCGTCTTGCTAGAACTGGAAATAATGGTAGCATTAGGTTGTCGTTCTGGCAGGGTGCTAGAAAGGGTCTTAGATGCGAAGGTGTCAAAGTAGTAAACATGGAACACATATATACCTAGGTAAGGTAGGAAGGCAAGATTCCTGGAGAAACCTTTAAAGAGTGAAAATATCACCATGGTCTACCTGAAAATACTGATATATACCCAATCACGATGTTTCCACCATCTGATTCCTTGTAGCTATGACTTTGGCAACAGAAACAGAATATTTCCTGAGATCCCAAGAGAGTAGAGCGAGAGATATTTGGCACCTTGATGATATTTCATTGGCACCCTGTCATATTTTGGAACCGTGCCAGCAGGGGCTCAAGAACTCTGCACTGCGCCATCCCTGAGCTTGCTACAGTACCACGCCTCTGTAGGTTTCCACCAATTACAGCGGCAGCAAAAGACCGACATATCTGCATACATACAGCTAGCCATCCTCAGCAACGCTGCTTGTTTCGACACCCATTGTCCGGCTTTCGCTTGCATAGAGTATAACGAGTGCTGGGATTAAATAAAGGGTAGAACTGAATTGCTGCCTGGTAATACTAAATGCCAAGATTACCTTACTCGGGCGATTATGTGGCTAGGTTAGCTCAGCATCTCGAGTTTAGGAACATGGGTCGTAAGTGGTTTCAACTTGCAGGGTTCACAGCCAGAGGAGAAAGCTAGGCGTCACACATTGATAGACAATCCTTTTCCGTCTCTAACTCTCTATGGATTGTATATACATTCAGTGTTAGTTAGGACTGGCTATCCATGCTGATCCTTGCTGTCTCTTATGCCCACTGTGCCTTGTTATTATGCACTTAGAGAACAAATGGCACGTCACCCCACGAGTTGAATGTGCTCGAAGCACTGCCCTTTGGACCTGTGGCGAGGACATCGAAAGGATGTTGAGGGGCACCCGCGTCACTGGCCAACCACGAGCCAGTATAGAGAGTGAAGTTGGTCCCTGCAATCTTGCCGGAAGCCTTCATGGGGGCCACCTCCGCAACCCACGGGCTGATGGTAGCACTAAAGTTCGAAGGCTGAGGAACGATAAGCGAGATGTTAGTATACTGATCAGCGTTGTAGACCTGAGGCGTAAATACTCTGTTAGCTACTACACTCTTGTTTGACATGTTGACGCCCAATTGGGGTTGATGAATCATACCGCTGCAGTCACATTGAGCTGTTGAAGAGTGACACCGTTGACAGTTTTCGTAGTTTGTGTGCTGAGACTCATCTGTGGCTGAATGGCATCAGACAGAGGGAATCCGGCACCTCCATTGTTAAAGGTCGTAGTCTTTCCACTGCCGTCTGTAACGTCAACAGTGAAAGAGGATATGCCTTGCTCAGCAGGGATATTGATGCTGTAATCAAGATACACAAAGCTTGGGCCGCAGTTGGGATAATCACAGATTGAAGTAGAAATGTTTCCAATGACGACAGGTGATGCGACAGGCAAAGCCGCACCGGCGCGTGAGACTGGCTTGACCAGGGCCTGGATACCACCTCCTAATAGAGTGTCGACGATCTGAATCACGTCCCAAATGGACAGGTTAGTTTCTCAGAGCTCTTATCTTGTTCTTGTCGGTGTTACTACCAGTACTTACTCTTAAAGTTAGACTGACTGTCAGCGTCTTATCCGCATTGACATCTATAGACCACTTTCTTGGCTTAACGGGCAGGGGTTGAAGAGCATCAGTTAGCTTGACATTTGGTGGCACCGTATTGATCATACGTTCGAATAGAGTAGCGCAGGTCTGGGAGAAGAATTCTTGTGATTCAGCCATTCGTGAGATCATATCACCGCCGTCGGCGTTGAAAATGCGGAAATCCGACCGCGTTGTCTCATTATGGCCAAATGCAAGGGGATTCTGAGAAATGTTGGCCACAAATTCCTTGGCACTGGTTGATCAAAAGATCAGTTACATGTCGACGGGATGGGTTTAGGGGGGGCTTAGTTGACCGCGAGGTGCCAAGGCAGACTTACACCTGGTTGTCGAAATTGCTTGTCGTCGTATCAAAAAAGACGGTATTGTCATTACCGAAAGGCTAAATGGTCAACATTAGCCGCCTCATGCATGAATAATCGCTAAGCCTCTGTTGGCCAAAGAGAGTGGATATGTATATACGAACGCCAGTAACTGGAGGGGGCTGTGGGTTCGGCACGATTTCTGGAAAATCCACACCATGCACACCTCCAACGGTATGCCCACAGGCAACAAGGGCAATCATCTCGGTCGTGTTGAAACCCTGTCTCACAAACTTTGCAGTGTGTGTGGCAAGGTCTTCCTGTGGTTCTGGAACACCAGAAGGGCCAGGGCCGGTTGCATCAACACGACCCGCCCTGTAGGGGAGGATGATATTTCCATTTGAGCATCCGCCAACTCCAAAGACCGCGCCCATGGCGAAAAGGTCAGATAACGAGGATCGGGTGGTGTATCTTGGACGGAAAAAGTCTAATGTCTCTTGGAAGCCGCTGCCGGGATTCTCTGGGCGATCCTTTTCGAAGACAATTGAGGCATCTATTCCTCCAGTGCCAGCTTGCACGTCTGCCGTGGCCATGTCATGGTATGCGTTTCTGATCCACTCAGCACCAAAACCACGTCCGATGGCGAGGCCACTGGCACTGCAGGGGACAGCAAAGGTGGCAAGACTGCCTTCGAAAGGGTTCTGCTGTTCGAACAACATCTTCTCAAGCTCGTCAGTTGCTTCATTTGGCCAGACATTGTCGGCGTTGGCGGGAAGCCAGAGCGAGCAGGTGGCCAGTGTATAGGCAATGGTCTTTGTCCAAGCCATGATCACAATGGTCTTTGGTAAGAAAAGAAATGTTAATGAAGATTTCGAAGAGAAGTATGAGCATTCCTTTGGCTCAGTTCTAGTCCTCTTTATAGAAAATGCTTCTTAAGAAGTGCTTCAACCTAGTAATTACCAATAGTGTTATTCGACCTGGTTTCGAGCTCTCGTGTCTGTCAATGACATGCATTAGGATGTGTTAAGCGCTGGCCCCAGCTTCCTATTTCAGTATCATGCTCTTTCGATGCGTATACTGAACATGGTCCGGACTATAAGAAATAAGCAATGCGTCTATTAATGGATGCCTACCCCTTACGACCTACCAGATTCGCTCGTAAGATTTAATAGCGTCAGTTTTGAACTTCAATCCGTCGTATTAGTAGTTACAGTCTGAGAATATCAGAGCAACAATAAGCGGTATGAAGAAAGAATACCTCTACATGTAACGGCAACCGGCAGCGATACATAGTTAGTACCTAAAAGAGCTTCCTATTTCGGAATCATACCTACATTCAAGATGTTAAAATGAAGTACATTGAGGTCTTTGCTACCTACCAACTTTGCTTGTATAGTCGAAGACAGGCGTAATGGAATCATAATGATAACCCACATACTGTCTGATGGCCGGAAGGGTGTAAAAAAAACAAGCATGGTTTTAGGGGTTTTATTAACAAAGCATTGAATAGTTGAATTCCGTGATACTATAGCCATTTGCGATTGCGAGAAGGTGGTTTCAGGGGATAAGGTGGTATGATGGGAGTCCGCCGTGTTGCCGCAATGCCGAGAGCTAAAAGAATAAAAAATATTAAATATTTATTTATGTTTATACGTAACCATTAATAGCATAGTACTGAGCGCAATTAACTAAATAAGACAAAGGAAATGACAAGGTTTCATCAATCTCTTGGTCCGTTCCATACTGGTATTATAAGCAAGCTCCAACAACGTTCCAAGATACCATCCGCCCGGAACCCGACCGCCAGCATCCTAATAATACATGCGAAACTAGAAGCCTACAAGTGAAAAGTTAAGGAAAGTGTTGTCTCTCGTCATTTACTTCTTCTTTCCAGCTCCATTCACGTTGCTCTCTGTCATCGCCCCCTGAGCCGCGTTGAGTCGGCCAAACTGCCACTCAGGAAGAGTGATGCCAGTCTGCTCATTAATCGTAGTCATCAGTGGTGGAAGCATCTGATAGACATTGCGCATGACATCGGTTGGTTCCGAGCCGTTACCCTGGCTTCCGGTATTCCAAACGCTAATCTTGGGCTCCAGTCCGCGGATGGCGCTGGCGTTGGCCTTGGCGAGCTCGACAAGGGTGCCGTCCTTGATCATCATGTACTGGAGAAGACCAGCTGGACCACCAAAGGCAACGGAGAGCTTGCCGTATGCATCTGCCATTGCCGTGATACCTTCGGCTTCTTTGAGGGTTCGTACAAGGGCGGCCTCAGCGCTCCGAACACTTGCTTCTTGGTTTGCCTCGGCCGTCACACGAACCCTATATGCTTCTGCGTCGGCAGCCTTTTGGCTTTTATAAATCTCAGCGTCTGCCGCGCGTTGATTAGCCTCTTGGTTTGCCTCGGCCGTAACACGAGTCTTGTATGCGTTCGCTTCGGAAGCCTTTTGACTCTTGTAGACCTCTGTATCTGCTCCTCGCTGGCTCGCCTCTTGGTTTGCCTCTGCAGAGACACGAGTCTTGTAGGCGTCTGTATCTGCAGCACGTTGTCCTGCCTCCCAATCTGCCTTTGCCTTTGCATTGAGTTCATACGCGAGGGCATCTGCGGCTTGTTGCTTAGATTCACGGATAATCGTTGCTTTGACGACATCTTGGGCTCGAAGACGTTCCATCTCAGCTGCTGCACGCTTGACTTCGACATCGCGCTTTAGATTCTCATCTGTAGACTCAAGAGTGCGCTTAGCAGTGACGCGGGCGATCTCCACATCTCGAGTTAGAGCAGCTTGTTGCGTATGGAGACGCGCCTCCGCCTCCGCCCTCTCGATGTCCCTCTCCGTCTTCTGGACTGCTGTTTCTGCATTGATTTTCGCGATTTCTCTCTCTTGTTCTCCCTTCTTCTTGGCTTCGCCGACGTTGCCTCGTAGCTGAGCTTCAGCAACGTCGATTCGTGCCTGGTTCGTTGCGCCTTCGTGGGCCTTTTTGGAGAGCGATTCGAAGTAGATGGAGTTAGGAGCGTCCTTGAGCTCTTTGACGTTGGAGTTGTAGATCTTGAGGCCGAATTGCTGGAGTTCTCCCTGAATGTTACGGAAGATGCGTCGCTTGAAAACCTCACGTTCGGTGAAGATTTCTTCCATGGTCATTCCGGAAACCAGAACACGCGTTTCACCCTCAATGATGCCTTTGACAATGTTTTCGACATGATCTCGCTCTGCAACAACCCTGTTGCCGCTGTTAGAGCGAGCCAGCAGCATCGCATACTTGACGAGAGCATCTCCAGAGTCTTCTTGATGGCCTGAAGTCTCATAATTCTCATCTCCATCATGTGAGATTGTTTCTGCGGCGACTCCTCCTTTAATGTTGCCCCCGCGCTGATTTACGTCAGGTCCAACTGTGAATACAACAGGGAGAGAGAACTGCAGCTTCTCCTTTGTCATTGCCTGGAGGTCCATGGCATAGTCGTGGGGCTGAACACTGAAACGAGTGTACCGCTGAAAGGGCCAGACCCAGGCAGCCTTTGTGATTCTGACGGTACGAATACCCATGCCAGTGATGGCAAGGTACTCGTCCGGGGCAGAAATCTTGTAGGACGCCATGGTGACTTGTTGGTGTTTGTTTAGCGAGAATGTGTTTGGATAGCGAGTTGTGAGAGGGAATAATCAGAAACGTAACAAAAGAAGATGGATATGAGAGATGAAAGGAAAAAGAAAAGAGTAGAAAAGAGGAGCAATTTATGTAGATAACGAACAGTTGGTGTAACTCTAAACGTGAGTACAAAAGCTTCTTTGTTCAAAATTCTAGGGGGTGGCTCAGATTGAACAAAGATCACAGCGCGCCAATTTATACAAAGGCCAATGTGCGCCGAGACAAAGGAACCCCCCAAAGTATGCCCATTGGATTGCCCCGAGAGCTGCTCCCTCGCTTTTCCGCCTCACAATCATTGGCTTATAAGGCAGGGCTGTCTAGTCCAGACAACCCGCTCAACCAGAGGTGGTATGATGCAGGGCTCGGCGGTGGCGCAGCGATCATGATGTTCCAGAAGCTTTCCGATACAGGACGCCAAGGACACGAAAGTGAGGCGGATCGCGTCCAATTTGGCAAATGCCGGCAATGGACCACTCAGCCGCAGCGGCCTAGTAACTTTTGGCGTGGGCAGATTCGGCTCAGCTTGATGCAAGGTGAACTGTCCTACAGTCCCTTGATCATCTGACCGCTGTTTACACAAAGTATAAATTCCGATCTCCATGAGTTTATATGAGGGGTTTTTTATCTTGCCGTTTATGGATGGCATTTACAAGACGTGCGGATGTGGCATTCATTGATACGACGTGAGGCAATGCGGTATATACGAATGAGCCTTGCCTTGGTGAGCTTATGGCGATCGTAGTGCAGTAATATGATTGGATCCATGCAAAATGCAGGCCCCATTCACACGACAATGCATGGGGTAGATGTATGGGGTAAAGGGAATAAGCAGAACTGTAATAAGTTGTGAAGTAAAGTATAAGTACTACCTAAAGAAGGAAGAGCTTTTCTTTATTTTAATCTTGGCAATTCCAATAGCATTATTTATAAGAGGAATACGCAAATCCCCTTTCTATTAGAGCTTTGACAGCGATGCGATGCTGCAAACTCGGCCCTCTCAGCAACTTGACACAGTATTTCCGCGTCAAAGTCCTACACGTTCAAGCTATATGGGGGTGGATGCCCTAAGAATTATTTTTTTTCTAGCAAACTATGCGAAATAGAAAGATAAATGAAAGTACAACTTAAAATAAAAATCATGTCTAGGATATCTAGGAAACGACCACGGCAACACGCCCCGAAGCAGACAAAGAGTCTTCCGTATAGCATCCCAACGAATAACTGTCAGAAACAGTTTCTACGACGCAGTTCTCCTCTACAATTTATACATATTGCCCAACCAATCTGCAAGCATTGCAACCATTTCTTTCGTACAGCTGTGCCCCGTGTTCTCCTGTATAAACAGTCTGGGCTTGGTGTCTTTAAATGTCATGCTTCCGGTCCTCGTGGCTCTTCTTCTTTCTAACCATGATGTTGTATACCGCGCAGGTACCAGTTTGTCGTACTCGCCATTGCACATGAACAAAGGCACATCGCTGGGAAATTCTTCGGAGATCTTCCTATCACCCTCGCGGACAAATTCCGCCAATGCGCGCGGCCATCGACGCCGTTGCGGCTCGTCCATAAGCTTTTCCAACTGTTCATAACTAGCAGTTTCTAGCTCTTCTCCCTTGACACCGAGAGCTGAAGCGTCTATTCCCAGACGCTCCAATAAGAGGGATGTCAAGTTTGGGCAACCGACAACCATTGCGAAGGCGTCAAACTGGCCGGGTGCAGCCGACGCCATACGCCAGGCTGTATGGGCGCCTAATGAGACACCCAACATGATATTGTGCATGCGATTGAACTGTGGGAAATACGCGGGCAGAAAGTCGAGGACAAGCTTGAAGTCTTGTGTTGCGCCGGATATCATGGAGATTAAATCGACGCTGCAAAGACAATGCCTTGTTAATAATACTCAATTAAAAAATAATAGACAACATAAATCATGTCCTTTTAATAAGCTTGCACAACTTACGCATGGTTTTCATTACCACCCGACCAAGTCAAATTTGCTTCCCGACTGACCTATTGGGTTCCGCCCTTGTTAGATGTCATCATGGCGGCTTAGGTGGTGAGTTGCACATACCTGGCGATCTCCATGATTCCTCATGTTCATCGTAATGGCAATCATCTCAACTTTCTTCTTCCTGCCATCGGATCTATATCTATGCAAAATCTCATGGGCGATGCCTTCTGTAACCAGATATGTTCTTGTCCGGTTGTGAGCAAGATACAAAACGGCGATGTCTACCCCAGACTTTTGTTGAAGTTCATCTAATCCATAGACGTATATAGTAACACCACCGATTGCTAACGATGTTTTGCTTGACCGAGGTGTCGACAGAGGAAGAGAAAATCGTGGCTGCAAGCCATCTGGGGTTGTGCTTGGCGAAGGCAAAGTGTCCGACATCTTGGCGTTCGTTACGGGTGCCTCGAAGAATGAGTGAGTAAACGAATGATAGGAGTGCCAAGAAAAATGCACAATTAAATGGCCGAAATAAACGGACAGCCCAGACTAAAAGAGACGTGGCTTAAGAACCCCTTCCGTATGCCATCTCTATAAACGGATAGACAGCGCTGTGCAGGTATAAGTCGGCAATAACAAATGGAAACAAGCATTTGCCGGGCTCTACTTTTTTTGCCGGAATGCAAGGGGTTCGGCTGCTTATTCGGCCAGTTCGGTCAACCGTGCCGATTTGGACTCCGTACAAATTTCTCAACGGTACTATGGCCATCCAACTAGATGGAAGACATGGAATTCTATTAGCGTAGAAAGGGGCACACCGTCAGATCTTTACTACATACTACCTACTTTGAACTGAGATTGTTGGTTGTTAATCACGCTCGTAGCATGTGGAAAACAAAGTACGTGGTGGATCCAACGAAGCCGTGTCTCACTGAGCACATACTGAGAAGATTTGCGGCTTTTTGGAATGAAACTTGAAGTGCAATAATAGATAATAATTAACAAGGATAAAAATCTAATAACGCGAGGCGAATTCGCATCTATAGGGATGTACAGTTGTTTTCCTCCACTTCCTATCCAATCGCTTCCTTGCCCGTATTCTTAAATTTCTGCAAGGAGATCCCACACGCTCAAAGGGTGCTGCTTAAAGAACTCCAAAATGATCGGTGTAGCATTGAAGCTAGCAATGTGGTGGCCAGACACCTGGTTATCGGTATTTGGCGCCGTACTTGGCCAATCATGCCCAATTACGGCGTCGTAAACATGTTCAACCAGTCCAAAGTTGACCCCTGATCCGTATTTGTAGGATACAGTATTGGACGAGATTGGTGTGGTAACATTGCGGAGGCTCAGCCCGTCTCGTGCGGCCCATTGTTGGATGAAATGCGGGATTGATGGAAGACATTCCTGCTTGCGCGGACCGCCCTGGTAATGAATTGTAGTGTCGTTGCCACCGTGAAACTCGAGGAATGGAATGTCATGACGGCTAGGGCTACATGGGATCTGCACGGTGTCGGCTGCACAGGACGATGTATTGACATAAAAAGCACCAGATACGGGGGCAAATGCTGCAATCCGGCTGGACATTGTCTTGTCGCAAGCCAGAACATTGCAGAATCCGGCGCCATCCGACTTTCCGGTGGCAAAGATTCGGGTAGGATCAATGCAATACTGCTCTTGAACATGGTCGAGGATATCTGCGGTGAATTGGATGTCGTTTACGGTAACATTCGGAACGCCTTGCCAAAAATCCTTCAGTTATGTTAGTAGTGACGTGAAATACTGCTTCCAAGCGATCAAATTGCCCTACATTAATGCCCTGGGGATAAATGACAAAAGAATTCGCATTGAACTGGGGACTAGTTAATTCGTCTAATTCCAGTTGGCTTTCTGCGGTTCTTTCGCCTCCGTGGTAAGACAGGATCGCCGGAGTAGGGACCTCATTATGGTACGTTGGTGGAATCGAGATGAGATAGTACCTCAACAGCCCGCCGCTTGTAATTGTCACATTGGCAACGCTACCAGGTGACTGGCCATGGGGTAATTTCTTAAGGCATCCTTCCAACGAGATGGACGAAAGGCCTTTAGGTAGGACCAAGGCTTCAGCCAAAGCGGCGAAGAATGCAACCTTGAGAGACAACATGGTAGCCAGAGACAATAAAATCCTAATCCGGAAGAGAGAACAATGGAACACTGAATCACACTTTCCACTTACGTCAATTGTCTTAGATTATCTCTCCTTTTATATATAGCCACATTCTAGTATGAAAATACTACCCCAAGGGTCCGTCACATTTCCTGGGGAAAAAGTGCGGAGAACCCTGGAGAGAAGGCCCAACTAGACAAATTAAGGCCATGAGAATGCCGAATATCCAGCTCATGTTGGTAATTACCGAGTTTACCGGAATCATATGTTCAAATATTCCTCTCACCGTTTGTGAGGCTCCATAATTCTTAGGGCTGACTGGCAGTTGGATGGAAGTTCGGAAGACGGTAAGCTGGTTTGAGATCACGATTGTGTTTTAGGAACCTGACCATTAGTAAAACAGTTTGTACTCCATAAACTATTGAAAGTATAGAGTTTATTTGCCTGACTTGTAGCCTTAAGAAGTAGCTCAACTAGAACCTAAGCATCTAGCTTAGTAACTATGAAATAGTTGTGTTATTTTAAGTCCGTTTTAGAGATATTCTCGCTGAATTGCCATGAATGTATCCTGTAGTTATGGGGAGAGCGGAAATCTATTAGAAACAGATATGAATTAGAGTAATTGGACATCAGTTATTGAAGAGACTATTGGAGACTAGCCAAGTGTTTTACAAAACGTATCTGAAATCTTTGTTCTGGATATCAGTAAGATCCTCGTCGATTGAGTGCAGACCCATAGGTGTGCCACTTCGCTTGTCCCTCTTTCTGTTTTCCATACGCAACGTAATAAGCGTAATAGATGCAATCACTACCACGCCACACAGACAGACAAAACTTCCTACGAATCCTGCGTGATAGATTGGCCCTGGAGACGCGCCAAAGATCACTGGACCAATAACATTTCCGACGCAGTATCCAACGAAAGTCGAAGCACTGACAGTGGATTTCTCTAAAACTGTTGTCAGACGCTGTTTCACAAAAGACAGATGCCATAAGAGAGAAAAAAGGCTTACTAGTATGTCCCGCTATGTTTGATGCTGTCAACGAGACAGCAATTCCTCCAGAGGCAACTTGGACGGCAATGAGAAAAACTCCCGCAAACAACAATCCTCGATTACTACGAGGCCCAAACCAGCAGATGAGAGTGCCCGCGATAGAGATCAAACCGCAGGTAATAATCAGCAGGTAGCGCATGTTTCTCCACCTCCGTGTGATGTAGCCCGAGAGAAGAATAGAAGTGGCAGTAATCGCTCCAATGGGACATGTTAAAGCCAAAGAATCGAAGTGGTCGAATCCAAATCCGTTGATAACAACAGTACCGAAAGTTCCAAGGGCTCCCGATGGCACACCGGTAAGAAGCACTATGAAGGCGCTGCTGTACAGCTTGTAATCGCGGAAAGCCTCGAAGAACTGGGCCTTGTTGAACTCGTGGCTCACAGTACCAGCATTGTTTCTCTCGAGACGGCGAATAGCAATGTGTCTCTCAGCATCCGTCAACCGTTTACTCGTCATAGGGTCATCGGGGAGGAAGAAGAAGAGTACGATGGACCACAAGATGGTGACACCGCCAAGAATCAGAAAGATTGGTTTCCAAGAAGGCAGTGACCCATGAATCTGGCCCAAGCCGTAGTTGATTAGCGGCGAGATGGCTGTGGCGACTCCCACACAGCTGTACCAGAACCCAGTTCGTAGAGTCTGCTCTTCTCGTGTCCACCAGAAGGTAACCAAGACAGTGAACGAGGGAGCAACGGCCGACTCAAGGAAACCCAGGAAAAGGCGATTGATCATAATACCGGCATAATTGAGGCAGCCAGCTGTGGACATGAGAACAGCTCCCCAGAGGAATGTAGCAACTGACACCACTCGAGATGTTGAGTAGCGCTGGCACAAGAACATCATTGGGTATGTACCAACAAGATATCCAATGTAAAACATCATCGACGCATTGGCGTATTTCTGGTTATTCGTGATTGGGGTTCCGTCTGGCAAATGGCCAACAATCGTGGTGAGCTTCAAGTCCGCATTGAAGTTGAACTGTGTTGCGGCGCTCATGACACCCTTGTCGTAGCTTTGCAGTGTGTACGTCACCATCATAAGAGGAATAATCCTTTACACTTGGATGAGCTATGGATTCCTGAAAAGGGAATAGACCACTAAATTGAAGGAGATAACATACCAGAAATCGAGTTTTCGAATAAGCCGTCTCTCGTCCTCTGCAGTGAATGTCTCGCCGCTGGGCTTTATGTTGGCAGTGTCGTTTTCCATCTTCTCAATTTCTTCAACCCCATCATGCTTTATGTCGTCAAGCACTTCCATGTCGTGGGGCGCCATAGTCACAGAGTAATTGGACGAGTGTCTCTCTTGTTGTACAATGTGTGTAAGCATCATTCACTTCCCGTTGTTGTGGTGATAATGATGTTATATAACAGTCTCGTCGTCGTTCCTCCTGACCCTGTGACACAATTGGCTGACCATCGTTCGGCAAAGTTTACAACACAGAGAACATGACCGGGTTGAGATCACTCCGATCTTCTCCGGGATGCGCCGTCATGATGCCCATCCGTGGAGAGAGAGCAAAAGAGAGAAGAATGCGACATACCGCTGGATGGATCTCGGAATAGAAATGACTCGGCAGACGGACGGAGGAAGCTAAAGTCAGATAATAGCCGAATTAGCCGTTCTAGCTCGCGACAACTTCACCAGTTCAGGCGCCACAAAGATGGGGTTTGTGGAGTAGCTCGTATATCCCCATCCGGGGTAAAAGGTAAGCTGGTCGGCTCGAATCTTTTCTTTTCTACCGACGGCAAACTTCTTCCCCAGACAAACTCATCTTTGCCGGCCATGGAATCTGGGGAGAGCTTACATGCAGCTCGGCCCAACAGCAGCGCATGGGGAAGTACCAGAGTTGCTCCCCGGATTCGCTCGCGCGTTGCCTGTCAGCCTTGCAATCAGCGCAAAGTTCGTTGCGACGTTGTTCAGACTGGTGGTAATGCCTGCTCAAATTGCCAGCGCGATGGCGGATCTTGTGTGGTTCTTCCGCGCAAGAAGCATCGGTAAGCATTGAAGGACGCTTGATTGAGTATTGCCCTCCATTTTTGCTCATCGATTGTCCTCTCACAGGCCGCGGAGGAAGAGAGATTCTCAGTTTACGGCGCAGAAAGCGGCTGGAAATACAGCCGAGATCTCCTATAGCAAGGTTACTTTGGGTGGCCTGGTAGATCCACAAGTTGGTGCTATACAAGTTGAAGATCCTCCGGAATACCCTTATGGAGAAACATTCTCGACGCCCCTACCGTCGTCAAGAAACAATGCCATGGGCGTTGGAGAAATCCAGGGCCGATCCGTGACAGAGAGTATCTTGCCTGAAGATGGCTCTTTTACTTACATCGGTAAGCACCCTATCAGAATTCTGACAATCATGATATGGAAAAGATCTCACATCACATCGACAGGCGACAGGAGAGGGCCACGCCACTCTGTCTATGACCTCTGCCACCCTGAGACCCCCGAAGATGCACGATGTTTGCCTCCAAGCACGGCTATGCCGTCGTCTCACAAACCGCATGAGCTAGAGTATATGCGCCTTCAGGGTGTCTTTTCTAGGCTCCCGGATGATGTGTGCGATGAGCTGATACGCTGCTACTTCCACCATGTTCACTTCTTTTTACCAATAATCGACGCGCCCGCGTTTCTGAACGAGTATTGCAGCAATGGCTCTCGGAATATTAGCCTGCTACTGTATTGGAGTATGCTTCTTGCAGCTGCAAATGTTAGTCCATGTGAAGACGCAAATTGATGTAATGATCTAACCGTTCCTCTTAGTTTGTTGAAGCAGACGTTTTACAGAAAGCAGGCTTCTCCTCTAGAAAAGCAATGAAGACTGCCATGTATGAACGCGCCAAGGTTAGCAATCTGGGACTCGGTGATTGTAACATGTCTCGTAAACTGACTCTGGACAGTGTCTCTACGACGTCGATCGAGGGACGGAAAAACTGGTGCTCATTCAGTCTGTCATCCTATTAGGATTCTGGTATACTGACCCGCAGGATCATACTGGTGCCTGGTACTGGACAGGCATTGCAATTTCGCTCTCACAGAATATCGGACTCCATCGGTCTTCGCGTTTGGGCAGCCGCGTACCGCCAAAGTCGTTACCAGCGCGAGAGTCCCTCATGCGTCGCATCTGGTGGGCATGTGTAGTCAGAGATCGATGGGTTTCGTTGGCTCGGGGCCGTCCTATGCGCATTCATAACGAAGACTGCGACACGCCCCTCCCTGTGGTGGAAGACATCATGAACGAACTAGAGTCTGTTGCTGGCCGGGCGCGAAGCAGTTTCGTTCCTGTGGAATCCAGAGCCTTGGCCGAGATGTGGATTCGGCTCGTGCGCATTTGCGATACGTTGGGTAACATCCTAAGAGTCCATTATCGTGTGAATGGAGTGATACCCAGTATATCGGAGATTGACAGATATGCAGAAGAGTTACAAGCCTTGGCTCAAGACGACGCTGTCCCAGCTGACTCTAGCGACAGCTTGAGCATCAATGGGATTCAAATCAATCTACTGTATCAGTTTGTGCCCCCTTTCAACACTCTCGGTCCGTCTACGCGGTCACTGACTATTCACTAGAGCTACAATTGCAATACTCTATCGACCATACCTATTGAATCGGTCTACTTCCCTCCCATCCGGAGCGCATTCACTATGGCAAAAGACTGCAACGAGCCGAGCCCGCGAAGCCGCGTCAAATACCAACGGACTGCTGCAGAGTCTCATTGAAGTGGATGGTATACGATATTTGAAGCAAATGATGTATTCATTTCCTCTCCCATTGTCCAGGTTATGGAGCTTGTGAACTGATCATCTCTCACCGTAGGATTACTGCAATGATCCCCGCTATGCAGATTCACCTTTACGACTGCAAGTCAACAAATGCATTGACCCGGGGTCTTGCAGAAAACAAGCTCCAGCTTCACATGCTGGTTCTGTCAAACTTGAGAGGAACATACTGGAGCGCGGACGTAATGTATCGACTCTTTGATCGGGCTCAAAACATACTCAAGAAGTCGAATTCACAAATAGAAAAACAACCTGTCAAGAACGCAGATAACAGCCGAGATTACACGAATCTGCAACCACAACCACAGCCGCAATTGCTCCCGCCGACCGAGACCCCCTTGCTACCGACTCCAGAGCCTGCAGTCTTGATGAGTGATCAACAAAATGCAAACACATGGTTCAACGGATCGCCACAATTTAGAGACGTTGATCAACTTTTGAGTCCAGGGTTTTACCTTTCTGAAGATGGCTTCTCAGAGTTCCTTCTTAGCTATGAAGACGCTGTTGTATACGATCCACCTGTTTTGGGTTGAAGCCGGGTACTTGACGAGATAGTACAATGATAGCAGTATTTAATTTATCTTATACTCTTCGGAATGTCAAGTGAGGGTGTCTCCGATTTCCATCTTTAATTCACCCCACACTATTCACTAGTAGGCATCATCATTAAACAACCTGGAGGTGATACTTATGACTCAAGGCAGCGGTGGATTAAGTCACGCAAGTGCTTAACCGCCGTGATTAGGCACCAGCAGTTGGTAGCCGATGTTAGTGATTCGGTTATTTCTCCTAAGTTGCAGGGAGCCGCTAAATGACAACGCACACGGATTCCAGCCTGTATTGCAAGCGGTGACTCTACTGCAATGAATTAAGCGCCGTCTTTGCGGATCGGAGGCCAATTCACTTGACTAATGAAAAGTGAGACGTCAGAGCCGTTGATTTCATCAAGTAAGGGTGGACGACACAACTGCCTGGTCCCTGAAACTAGGGCCGAACTACGACTACTCAGTGTACATCGGACAAATTCAGATGCTAGATCTATTTACGTCTACTAGACCTATGACCACGACCACAACGACTACATATACTACAACGATTACATCGATTACATATACTGCATCGACTACATATCCTACAACGACCACAACGACTACAGAGACTACATCAATCATATCCACTACATGAACTACCAGAGCCTTGGATAACCAAGGAAACAGAAGATATTCGGAGGAAGCGACAAAGATGGCACCGGGTTACTGACGAAGCTCAAGGAGGGTGAGGTGGCCTACGTAGGGTATTGGATGGACATGAGCGGTCCAATGTCTGCGACGGCAAACAGGGACGGAGAGAGTCACTTGAACGAATTCGACTTCCAGGGCCTTGATTCATTCAGAGTTCAACGTTTCGAAGCCGGTCACGGGGACGATTACCCATTATACGCTGACATCAAAGCTGGGTATACGCTGCCTCAAACGACTGTTACATGCGGAATCACTAAACGATATTTACAAGACGACAATAGGTCAGCAAGGTTATTGTTGAGAAATAGCAGTCTATTTCTATCATCAAGGGAGGCTATCTAGAAAAGAGAAAGAAGAAGAAGGACAACAACAAAAGACATAGTATTCTATAGCAAATGGACTACGGGGCAGTCGCGGCTTGCAACATGAGGAGAATGACGTGAATCCACACCTGATTCTTGATCTTTATACACAAGTTGTCTATAGTTTTATTGCCAAATTGAAACATGGAGATGTCTTGCAGCTAATAAATCATTGCTCAGTGATTGGTTTTGACCTTGCGGATGAACAAAGTCCCGACTGTGAGAATGACTTCCAAGTGAAGCCCTGGATTTGCCCAAACGGTGTTATTAGGAAGGCGTTGCCAGTCAGCGTACGCATACCTTTCAAGGTCGCAGCTATAGTAGCCCTCTGGGGATAACTTAGTTCTTTAATCAACAATCAAGTCACGGTCGGTCAGCAACATCCTCCTCTCGTTTCCAGTTCAATAAGTTATGAGCCCTCGCGCTCTAGTTTTTTGATCCCAAACAACCTCTGGCATCAGATTCTGCACAAATCACCGCGTTGACGCGTCGCGCTGCACTAAATACACTGGACGAGCTCCGCCGACGGGACCAGCGACACCCGGTGCGGACAAAGAGGACGAGAAGCCGGCCTTGACAGCAAAACGGCACAGAAGAAGCCCGCGATCTCAAGAGACCGCCCCAGTGATACCAGTTGTGGAGGAAGAAAACGAGAAGCCAGCTTCCCCATTCAATGGAGAACAGTTAGAAGGAGTCGTTGGGGTTTTCCACTGACACCTGTCACCGCATTTGGAATATATCCAGAAAGCGTCGCAGTGGTTAGTCCTCAGCCGCCATTCAGCAGATCACTGATTGATTTCTGCAGTAACAACGGACGATGACTTTGTAGTATCCTCGGATAATGACTCCCTTGGATCGCCCAGTACAAAGCGCCAACGTACTGACACTGCGACAACAGAGGCAATTGAGGGAGGCTTAGGCGGCGATAGCAGAGTCCTGAAGGATATAATGATAATGCTGGGGCTTCCATACGCGAATGAGGTTAAGGGCCCCGACTAGATAGAGGCTTTGTACACAGCACGCAGCAGGACTCCAACAGCAGCGGAGGAGATTAGATTATTTATAAAACAGTATATTAAATTCCTTTACATCTACTATGTCTACTATGTCTACTATGTCTACTATGTCTACTATGTCTACTATGTCTACTATGTCTACTATGTCTACTAT